GCAGCTCAGAGACCAGAAGTGGCAGGCGGGGAACCTTGGCTTCCTCCAGTCACTGGAGCAAGCAAGCCTCCTGTTCTCTTCAGTTGCCTGGCTGCTGGCCGCCATCTTGGTTGACAGTTAATTTGCATATCGCCCTGATTAGCCAATGGGAAGTGTGTCAGAGGTATGGTTAATTACCATGTTTGTCTATTATTAGATAGGGCTAGAGGCCCGGTGCATGAATTCATGCACCAGTGGGGTCCCTCGGCCTGCGGGATAGGGCCAAAACTGGCTCTCTGACATCCCTCAAGGGGTCCCTGATTACGAAAGGGTGCAGGCCATGCTGAGGGACCCCACTGGTGCATGAATGGGGCTGGAGAGGGTCATGGGAGGTTGGCCAGCTGGGGAGGGATCATGGGAGGGCTCCAAGGCATGTCCAGCCCATCTCGCTCAGTCCTGATCAGCCGGACCCCAGCAGCAAGCAACCTATTGGTTGGAGCATCTGCCCCCTGGTGGTTAGTGCACATCATAGTGAGCAATTGAGCAGCCTTAGCATATCATTAGCATATTATGCTTTGATTGGGAAGGGTAGCGGTCGTACGCCAATTACCATTTTTCTCTTTTATTAGTGTAGATAGATACTTTCCCCATCTCTCTCCCTCCTTTGCAATTATGTTGTTGTAGAAGAAGGAGAAGGGGAAGGAGAAGAGATCAGGAAGGAAAGGGGAGAGAGAAGCTGAGTAATCGTCTCATAGTTTCCTGCAGTTTTATTTTGTTTTGTTTTATACATGTTTCTTGGCCCTTGCATTTCTATATTGTGAGACTCAATCAGATTCAGTTGGGTAGTGATGGTGTGGTGGTGTGTGTGTAAGTGTGTGTGTGCAAAGTCTATGTAAATGATCATGGGTGCTTTTATTGGAGGCACATGATGCCTTTCATTTTGTGCTTAGCAATTTATTTTTTTAAATCTATTTTGAACTAATACATTTCAACATATTTTATGTGTTTCAATTCATGGGAGTTATTATTCTTCTTGACACTTAAGAAGTCTAATTTTTGGGACAGTGGGAACTTACTTCCCATTGGTTCCTAAGTCCTTCTGACACACTCCTACCAGCTTTGATAAGAAGTTCCAGGCTCGCCTAGTACATTACCTCCCTACCTTAGACCTGCAATCAGCACTTTTCTCTAAGACCCTTGGATTCTTTTTATGAAAAATGGTATTTAGAAACCAAAATCTAGTCACTAGGGTAAATCGTTGCTATTGTGCTGGTCAATATCTCTAGGCCATTCCAGTGTATAGTGCTGAAAGAATTATTTTTTCTTGCTAAACCTGTAAATGAGTTTGCACTGATATTCCAGTCAATTCAAGTCAGGATTATAATAAGGTTAAACTCATTAACCTAGTGGATATCTTTTTTCTCACATACCATTAATACCAGTTCATAGTGAAGCAAACCTTTTATTTGCTTTATGCACAGTGTACACATCACAGCTCAAAATAACCTATGAGCATCAGTATCAACAGTATATTTTTAGTTATTTTTTCAATTCAAAAGTTCTCTAGGAGCCCTAACCGGTTAGGCTCAGTGGATAGAGCGTCGGCCTACGGACTGAAGGGTCCCAGGTTCGATTCCAGTCAAGGCCATGTACCTTGGTTGCGGGCACATCCCCAGTAGGGGGTGTGCAGGAGGCAGCTGATCGATGTTTCTCTCTCAACGATGATTCTAGCTCTCTATCCCTCTCCCTTCCTCTCTGTAAAAAATCAATAAAATATATTTTTAAAAAAGTTCTCTAGGAAAGGGCCGGTCTTTAAAACTGGCAGTATGGGTCATTCTTTTATAAGCAAACACGAAATGCGTGGCTTAAACATATTTACTTGGTGTTATTTAAGATCTGTATGAAAGCGCTGAAGTTCAATATGTGTGGAAGTCCATCTGAGGAGGACGGTACAATTTTCTGCTCAGAATTAGCACCTGGTAATTCAAATGAGTCACAAGAATGTCCATAGCTACTTCTCGTTTCTGCTGTGCATTAACCAGAGGCTAACTTATTTGCAGAGAAACTCTCCAGTGATGTGACAAGACTCACAATGAGTTGGTCTCCCTCCACGAGAAAGGCACAGGAGGGGTCGAGCCATACCCGATTACACCATGCTTCTGTCTGGTATCCCTGAATGCTTACCACAACCGCTCTGAAACACTGCAGTAACAGATGGTAAATTTAAAAGGACAGCTTTTAAAATTTAAAACAAATCCAAATGTAAACCTCCCTCCTCTTCTCCATTCCACTCTTTGCCAAAAAAAGGGGAGAAAAACATCTCAAGTGTGATTCTGAGATGTTTATTTTAAGAGTATCATTTATTGTAGATTTCAAAATCCATTACAACTCATATTAAACAGTGCTGTGTGTGTTTTGTAAGCCAGTGCCTCATTTTTTGTCAGCTGATGACCAGTATGTGGGAACAAGAGTTACTGAGGCTACACATTCTAGCAGGTGGTGCCTCCGAGAGGTGAGCTGCTGCCACACCCAGTGGACTCCTCAGACTGGTACCAGACGTCATATCACTGTACCGGGACGAAAGTGACACTTTCTAATCTTAATTTCTATGAGAAAGTGTTTTATATAATGTGCTTTTAGTTTGTATGTAAGAGAGTTTACAACCATGTAGAACTTTCTTTTATTCTCTGACAGGGCTGGGCTTGCAGAGGAATGGTGCTCCCAGTAGGGTGCACTAGGAGCTGCTGAAACCGGATTTGTAATTTGCACACAGTCAGCCATCTCCTGTGGAGTGGGGGTATGATGTCCTGTTTAGATTGGGGTTTTTTAAAGGTAGATAATAGAAAAGTGTAGACTTCTTACCAAAATGGCATTCGAAGTTCATGCTTTGAGTCACCACAGACTCCACATCCAACCATATAACAATGGAAGAAAAAAATCCGTTTAATGGACCAAGAACCGGAGACAAAATGCGAGATGGAAGCCACAGGACTGCCATTCTCAGTACCAGTGTGGCAGAGACAGGGGATTCAGTTTCCCAAGGCCATGGACAAGTGGGATGGGGTGGCAAGTCACTCCCCGCCATCCACCTTCCTCTCCCCCATCCTGGGAACAGAGACAGGAAAAGGTGCTGCCCTGGAGCTACAGCTTGTAGGAATCCAAGAGCCAAGGTAGACGCCAGGACACTCAGCCATCATGACCAAGCCTAGTTGATTTATCATTTGACTTTAAACCATCCCTAACCTGGTGGTGGAATAAGAACACTGAGCAGCAAGAAAAGAAATGGTTTTGGACTATGGGTCTTTGAGTCTGGACTGAGGCAACCACAACATTTCTAAATAGAGAGGAGGAACAGGGAGAGAAAGAAAAGTAGTACCAACTCAAGTGATCTACAAACCAAAATTCCCAAACATACAAACAAAATTAACACCAAGAAAGATAGCAAGTCATATAAAATATTGGGAAATGAAATCAATCTAGACAAAATGCAAATAAATGTGCCGACTTAAAAAGCCTTTAAGATTAGTATGTATAGAGTTATCAAGGTGATACAAAAAGGAATAGTATCATTCCAAAGAAGTGGAAAGTTATGCAAAAATATAATTTCTAAATCTCAGTAAGCTGAATAAACTCTAAACTTGGATAATCAAGATTTGAATAACATAAATAAGCAACATGATTTCAATCATGTATATTTTCATAAATATTGTAAGTTTAGATAAATGTTATATATTTCTATGTATATAAATTATATGTGTGCATGTATCCTACACCTAACAAGTAAAATAGATACATACTATTCATGCACACATGCAACATTTTCAAGTATTGACTGTGTACTAGGGCACAAAGGTTGTCTCATCAAATATCAATGAATCAGACTTATGTAGTAAAAGATGATGAAAATATACAAGCAAGTAAAATTATATTTTCTAAATTACAAATGAGCCAACAATACAATAACAATAAAATTACAGCCAAACAACCACAACAGCATTTCAGAGAGGAAGGGAGAGGGAGAAAGAGAGATGGAAACAGCAATGATGAGAATCATTGATTGGCTGCCTTCTGCACGCCCCCTACAGGGGATCAAGTCGGAAACCTGGGCATGTGCACTTGACCAGAATGGAACCCGGGACCCTTCAGTTGGCAGGCCAACACTCTATCCACTGAGCAAAACCAGCCAGGGCTCAGCCAAGATCTTTAAGGTAAATCTTACCCTTTATATAGTAGCAGAAATAGTTCACATAGAAGTATATTTAGTAGGCAGTTCCAACACTAAATATTTCTTATTCTTCTGGTCATATGCTGCCTTGAAGTTATGTGTAGCCAATGACTTGCTTTGGTCAATGAAATGAGTAGAAGGACTTTGTGCCAGTGTTAGGCAGGGACTTTATAAGTTAGTACACAGTTGGCCAGACCCTTTGTTCTTACCCTGGCGATTAGGGAAGCAGGGAGATGGAGCCTCCCTGAGCCTAGGAACCTGAGGAAGGATGACAGTCTCCCAAGCCAGCTCTGTCTTCCTGTTTGTCCACATGAGCACTGCATCTTCATGGTGACGGAATGCCACCATCTCGTTTCCAAGTTAGGTTTCCACGGTTATTACCTGGATTTCTGTCTTCTCCAAGATACATTATTTTAGATTTTTTTATTTTTAGAGATGCATCTGCAATCTCTTGGCCTAATCATCTAATGAGCCTGATCTTTTAAAATCATGTTTTATTGTTTTTGTGTTTGTTTTTTTCTGCCTCCAGTTCATTAGTAGCACCTGGGAGCTTTCAGACACTGTTTTCCACAGACTAATAAAAAATGCTTACAAATACAATCAAATAAAGCTCCGAGTCTGAAAACGGGCTTTAAGCTGGTTAGAAAGTTGGAAAACTATCCCAGGAGTTAATTCCCCGCTCCTGCCCATTTGACACTTCCTTAGATACCAGAGTTCATTCATCTTTGAAGCTTTTGCATTCTGTTTTGGTGAAAGCCATCATATCTTTAATAAAAGCATTTTCTGCTAGTTGACACATATCTTCCTTTCAGAAAACAAACAAGAAAAATATCTCCAAAGATAAGAAATAAGAACCTAACTGTAATCATTATGACAAATCCTTTTGTGACACAATTATAATCATTGTTTCTGTGAACGATCTAGAACAAGATATTACAGTCGAAAACACAGATCACCCTTTACGATAGAATTATCATTCTTTTCTGAAAATTAATTATGTGCACAGACTATGATGAGGTACTCACTGACGATTTGTTTTGAATAAACTTGCGGCAACTTCTTTGAGGCTGGCTTATGACTTCTAGATATGATGACTTGCCCATGAGAATGCTGCACTATTCTCTGTACGCTGCCTTCCAGTGCCATTAACTGAGATTCCAACAGTCATGGCTTTGCCAACTGTGCTGGTTCCTTGAAGGAAAACTGAAGGACCTGTTGTCATAGGAAGGCTCCTTGCACTGTCCGGTCACACAGACTTTCAAATGATTTCTGACTTTGGTTTGTAAACACTCCAGAGTGATTGCAATTTTTTGCAAGGGAGTTTTACAAAAGCTCTGGAAATGATCAAAGAAAATTTTTTGAATTGAAGAAAGAAAACTCTACCACATTGGTACTTATGATAAAATATTTGGGGAAAACAAGAAAATCCAAATATTTTCAAAAGATCTAGAGTAGACCCCAAGTGTGATGGCAGTTTAAATTACCAATTTTTTTCTGGCAAGACTCAAGTCATACCAGATTCACTTTTCTCTTTGAGGAAATTAAAAAAAAATAAAGATACTTTTAAGTATGAGGTTATTCTTCCAGGTTTAAGCAGTCTTACATGCTTATTGTTCAAAAATGTCTATCTGTTTTGGGTAAAAAATGTTTCAGGTTTTGAAAACCTTTCTGAATTTATTTATTACATTTTTAAATTTTAAAATACCTCCAAAACCATTTTGGGATCTGTTCAGGCCCAACATAGGCTGTGAGAGAGGTTACTGGCATTTGAAGAATCCAAATGGCTAGAAATGCAAAACAAAGAAGTGATGGTTTATGCTCTTTTGTCATCTGAGCAGAAATAAGTATTGAATGAATAGCCATTGTAATGTTGTTCCAGCCCTGGCAACTTTGTTGATCTTGGAAACCTACTGTTTTCTAATCTGTGCTTGGTGACTTTTAAAGTTTCAATAATATTTGCTTGCTAATGAATCAGACTTTGTTCCAGGCATTCCTGACTATTGATTTTGCATTAGTTAATAGCTTTTATTGATAAGTCACTAAGACCAGAGCAGGGTATTCTGCTGGGTGCTGCCTAAGACCAGAAAAGAGATATTGCAATTTATGAGCTTGAACTAGTCCAGGCTGCCTAGCTTCAAATCCGGGCTCTGCCCCTTCCTTACTGGCTGGGTAACTTTGGGCAGATTGTTTGACCTGTCTCTGCCTCCATTTCTTCATTTATAAAATAAGGATAACAATAGAAACTACCTCAAAGGGTTGTTTGATGAGTAAATGAGTTAATATGAATAATAGGCTTAGAATAGTTGCTGGCATTTACTACGCACCAATAGCTACTATAAAGATAAACTTGTAAAAGTTTCATTTTAATGGGAGTAGCAGTGGATAAAAACAAAGCGATTTGACCACAGAGGAAATAATACTAGCTAGGAATTAGAACTGGGTGCTGTATCCTAGTTCTATCCTTGCTTTAATATATTCTGTAGCCTATCTAATGGTGACTACCACACTTGCCCCAAAGGCTCGCAGCAGGATAAAGAGATCCAGATGAAATAACGTATGCTTCCTACATGAAGTCTTCCCCAAATTAATTGTTCCTTCTTGGGCATTCCTGATGCCATTAACTTGTATTTTCCTTTTTAATTATCTTTTTCAAAACATTGAATTTATTGGGGTGACATAGGTTAATAGGACCATACAGGTTTCAAGTGTACAATTCCATAACACATCATCTCTATACTTCATCATGCGCTCACCACCCAAAGTCAAGTCTCTTTCCGGCACTCTTTATCTCCTCTTTGGCCTCTTCCCCCTCTGGCAATCACCATACTGCTGTATGTGGGGTTCCTCCCAGCTGCCCTCCCCTCTGACAGCTGTCAGTCTGCTCCCTGTTGTTTTCATCATGATCCTTATCACACTAAGTCTTGTACTATAGTTAGTTTCTCATATGCTCTTTTTCTCCAACCAGATAAGGTCTTGGTGGCAGAGACACTGTTTTACTCACTCTTAAAATACCATCTAGCATTGTGACTTGAATGTAATAGACATGTAATAACTGTTTATTATAAAGGGCTCTGACAAGTATAGCTTGCCAAATAAACAGAATTGTTATTATTACTATTATTATTATAACTACTACTGCATGTGACTTTATAGGATATAATTACATGGGTAGTAGAGTAGTAGAGTTGGGTGGGGTCAGAACAGAGGAGGACTAGAGCCTTATCCCAGTGATATGGATTGCGCGTTCAGTTCCAGGCCACAGCAATGAAGTGACACGTGACCTTGCTTTCAATAAAAAATAAATAAATAAATAAAAAGCAAAGCAACATCTGTGGAGTGCAATAAAGCAAAGCACATAAAATGAGGAATGCCTGTATTTACACAAATTCTGGCGTCATGTTTTCTTTTGTTTTCTCTCTGCATTATCCCCTTACACGAAAATGCACTAATTACTAGTAGATGCATGTGTTTTTCTACCTTTTAACTGGGTGAGATGAGAAATAATTGATTATTATGGGGTCTGTAAAAAGCCTTTTGATCCTCCTGTGTTGTTACCATTTGGTAAATGAGTTTTATGGAAATAATTAGGTTCTTGTCTAAATTTCAACTAGAACTTGGAGAGTTGTTTATGTATTCACCTATTCTTTAAAAACCTATTTCCATGTTTCTTTGTTATGTGCTAAACACTGTGCTAGGCACTGCACAATGGCAGTGGGATGTCACAGGATTCAAGTCTATTATGTGTGGATAAACAGGAATGTCCATTAAGATGCCAAAAAAAAAAAAAAAGCAAACACTGTAGTCTGGGCTGAATCCACATGAAAACACAGTCAGGGACCTTTGATCTCAGTTTAACACATTCGGTGACTTTCTCTTGCAGTAACTGGATCTATCAACTTGAATGAATGTGATGCTCATATTAAGGTATGTCCACTGCACTGATTGAAAATGCACATTTCAAACATGGCACTTACTCTGAGAGGAATTGTACTCTAAGATGATGATATAAGGAAAGGAGTGGTTGGACCACTAGAAACTGCTGTGGATTGTCATTTTCTTGATTTAACTTGGGCAAGTAATCTAACCTTGTTAGGTCATCTATAAAATTGGGATAATAAATAATCAGCTGTTCCTAGGTTTCCTTGGAGAATTCGATTTGCAAATTCAAGAAGAAACTATGCTCCTTTTGCAATTCTGTGGCTGCATCAATTGGATGTCCATAGATCATTAGAGGTGGATGTGAAAACTACAAGTCAAAATAAGTTTACTTCCTCTCTTAAAAGAACACGTGGCATATGGATGTTTCTCATCAGCTTATGGTGTTTCAAACATATCTGTTAAGCATAACGTTTTTATGAGACATGTAGATATTTTTCATATCTTCTTTGTAAACCTCTGAAATCACCTTGTGTATTTCATTTAAAATGAAAAAAATTAAAATCGAGCAACTATGTGTGAAATTTCTTTCAAAACACTAAGCCTACACATTTGCATCAAAATAAAAAAAAATCAAGTCTGCTTAATTAAAACCTTGACACCATCAACCTCTTGTAATTATGTACGTGTTAAAGATACTGGCATCCTGGGGATACCAACTTAAAACCAGTATGCATTTTTCGTGTCTCTGGTGCATATACATGTGTAATTCACAGAAGGGGTAAAAAGAGGAAGGAAAGAAATGATTTAAAATTTCTCTAGACACAAGTCACTTCACACTTTTAAAACAGGAAGAGGGCACATTTCTATTTGCAGAATAGAAATTTAGGCCAGAATGTTTTAATCTCTCTTTTAGGTCTAAATTTCAATGAATGCATTCTTTTTAAGAAACAAAGACTTTTATAAGTGTTACTTAGAAAACACAGTTCTAAAGCTTGACTACTGGTTGTTTGGATGTATTCTATAGACCATATGGGGTGAATGGGGGAGGAACCGGCTGTTTATTCCTCTCCTCTAGAGTGTATACCTTTTGCACTACAGCGACTGCTTTTCTTTACATGTTAATTCTTGTTGTCTTCACTAGCCTGTGCCTATTCCCAATTTCCTTTCTAATGTGGAACTCAGCAGCTCTTTGTTCTCATTGTGTCTGTCGTCTCCCTTTCTTTGTGTTGCAGGGATACTGCTACCCGCATCTGCCACTGAGCATGCGGAAAAAAATCCTTCAATAGATTCTTTACTTAGGACTTTTCAGTAGTCTTACTCCACTTCTCCAGGTTTTAGTAATAACCACAATATCCAGAAGATAATCCGAAACTTGGAAAGGTGATGGGTGATACAGGTGGTTTGGTGGTGGTGTAGCCAGCTGGAAGGAAGGTTCTGGGTAATTATACACACACATTTATCTAATTTATTGAAGCTCTCACCAAGCAAGTTAAGTACAGAACACCCACTTCACACAGAAGCTAGAGATAGAGTTTGACAACGGAGAAGACACAAGTGTTTCTGAGCAGGTAGGCACAGAGCCACAGCTAAGACCAACCGATACAATGTGTTTGTGTTCCAGAGCGATGTGGTACATTGTCACACAGATCCGTGTGTAAAGTCCCTGAGTCAGCCCTTCACAAGATATCAGAGGATGAGAACCAGTTGTGTGGACTTTTCTCAGAATAAAATCTATGACTTCTGTCTGATTGTATTAGACGTTTAAAATGCTAAGTCAACAGTAATTGAAGAAAACTGGAGTCAATTCTCCTGCGTTTAAAGCCTCTCCTTCCTCGTCTTAAAGCAGGTTTGCGGATGTTTTCCACAAGACGTAAGAAACAGGTGAGTTAGGGGTAGAGTTCTGAGGTTTTCTGTTTTTCTTTCTGTCCCCCAGGAAGTCTGACCTTAATAGCTTGTAAATTACTGAACAGGTGGAGCGCTACCCAATTTTACTCATGTGTCTCGCATAATGACTTTCATCTATTTTACTCACTGCTTGTATGGCCAAGTCTTACAAAGGTGTCAGGCGCAGAGTGGGTGCTGTTTTTTGTTTAATGAATATACGAATATATATGGTATGGAAAAACGATCGTTTTATCGGGGCAAACATTGATTGTAATAGAATAGTTCAAATTAGACTATTTTTGAATAAACTGAAGTGAACATTTGTCTCTTTAGCAGTTGGCCACTCTCCCTCTCCTAGTGAGGGGGATCTCTTCTTTCTCCTCGGCCTCCCCTCTCCCACCATTTTGCTTCTGTATCCACCCGTTAGTGGATTGACAGCATCGTTTCAAAGCCTTTCTGTTCCCTGCATTGACTTTTCGGTTCTTAGAGCAACATTCCCTTGCCTTTTGATTTTCTACGGGTTTCATTAGCTAGTGGCTAGCAGATCATGTCGCTAAGCCTAACTGTTTTTGGAAGGTAGCAAAACAGAGGGCGCGAGGTGCACGCCTCTCAGGGCTCGCACCTGCAGCAGCGGATTCTTTGGGACCCCGCCCCCGGCTCGGGGAGGCTCGCACTGCGCCCTCCTCCCAGGGGCGGGAGGATGTGCCTCTGGCGGGAAAGTTCCGTCCAGGTCCAATCAGACACCTGGGATTAGGTAGCCTGGGCGGAGCAGAGGCCCCGCCCCTTTGAAGCCTCGCACCCCAGGCCGGTCCTCCACCAGGCCCCGCCCACCGGTGCCCGCGCCCCACCCCACCCTGGGGCCGCGACTAAAACCCGGAGCCGCGCGGGCGCCCAGGGGACTGGAGAGACGCTCTGAGCATGTGCAGAGCAGCTCGGCGGAGGCTGCCTCGGCCCGGGGCTGGGGCCCGGTGCTGATGCGAGCATCCGACTCAGCCGCCACTCAGCCCCAGCGCGGTCGGCCCTCCCGGCCGGGGAAGCAGGGAAGGAGCCGTAGCCT